TCCAGCCGCACGGCCTGCGCAGTCCGAGGCGCGGTTCCACCATGGCCAGAGGGTCCCGCCCACGGGCGCCCCCCCCCCGCGAGCCTCCTCCTGCAGCTGCGCCTCCAGCCCGCACACCCGCTCCTGGAGAGGGGGGCAGGACGACGCAGGGGCGCACAGCTCCGCGCCTTGCGCTGCGCGAAGCGCGAAGCACGCATGCCTTCGCGCTCTCGCGCCGCCCGCCGGGGGGGAAGAGGCAGGATGAGGAATCGGCGCCGAACCACGAAGCGCTGAGCGCGAATGACGTCGCGCCCTCGAGGGCGCCCTGGAAGATGGTGCGTTGGTCTGCGAGGCGGTCGCTGCGACTCCAACCCGCCCAGAGACAGAACTCGAGCCCGAGCGAAACATGGAGATGTGAAGACGCAGCGTGCAGTGGAATTGCCAAGCTGGAAAGTTCGTTCGTGGCCGACATGGCCAAGTTCCCCGCTTCCAGAAGGTTGTCTGCCCCGTGCTCCCAGTGAGTCGGGCTCTGTCAGGTGGGGATATATCCATATCCACCGCCATGGGGATTGATCTCCAAGGAACCCAGCGTGCGGTGGATATGTACACAGCTTGGCCCCAGAAGGCACGACCACGTCCATGTCCACCACCTGCCGAAGTCCCTGGAAATCGGTCCCTTCGGCGGTGTTTATGGAGAGGTCCCCGCGTCGGAGGTTCGTGTCGTGATATCTTAGGCGATGGTTGCTGACATTGGTCGTGCAGCTCTGGTCGTACAGCTCCTTCGATATCGGCTGGTCTTGGGCCAATGGAAGCGTTCAACCTTGACGCCCGCACTGGGGCCGCCCTCGCATCGGCGCGGCACGAACCTGCCGTAGGGAGTAGAGAAGCCCAGCGGATTTCGTTCAGCAGACACTGTCGCTGCGCATAAGCAGCTGCTTTGGCCACAGGCACGCGACAACGCCCAAGCATCGCAGAGCCGATACCGCCGGTAGTCCGCTGCTCATTGAACATTTCCTGTGGTAGCGTTATCGTTGGGGCTTCGAAGCAAATCTGGCCGTGGCGACGAAGGCCCCCCAAGATAGAGGCGTCCCAACAAGGGGTCCGAGCAAATGGGATCGGAGGGTCGCGCCGCATCGCCACTGCATCCGCGGTGCATCGGCGACGCCGGCGCAGAGAAACACGAGCTGCACATCGAGCCGCATCGCCGTTGCGTCGACGATGCGGCGCGACTTTCCGACCCCATCTGCTCGGACCACATCTGAGAACTACTCGGGCCCCAGCTGGAAGGTGCATCTGGGACGTCGCGGCAGGACGCCCACAAGGCGAATGCAAGGCCTGGCGCTGGCGTCGGCGAAACTGCCCCTTTCTGAGCTCCTGCAGCTGCAAGGCGAGGGCAGCCTTGCGCCGCAACTCCCCGTCCGCGGCACCGAGCGCCTGATCGGACAGGCATCCACGGGGCGAGGAGGAGGAGGGGGAGGAGGAGGAGGAGGAGGAGGAGAAGGAGGAGAAACAACTATCATTTCGGGGGGGTATGTACATTGCGGGTCTCGTATTCTTCATCTAACATACAGATATGCGTCGACGCTCGGACTAAACGGCGGCGGCCCCTCCCATTTGAATCGGGAATGTGCGGGCGATCAACCAGCTCTGGCTGGGAAGGGAAACCAAAAGAAAAAGGGAACCATAACTGTTCAACCAAAGCCACATTCTAGACTCGGTTGGGTGACGCCGTCGCCGTCTGACCTGACGGGCGCGCGACGCGGCGGGGCGAGGGCTCGCCGTCTGTAGCGGGTAGCTAGCTCGCTCGCTCTCCTAAGGGAGGTACTGGAGGAGCTCGCACGCGTGCTTGATGATGGTGTGACTGTCCTCGTGCCGCATTGTGCATGATGTTGGTGACCTCGGGCCGCAGACGTGATGTCTGAAAACCTGACCTGAGACTTGGGCACGATGGCGGACCCGGGGTCACACGAATGGCGAGGTGGATGCATGATGCCTTGACCTGCTATGCGGGAGAGAAGGCTGGATGGAGTTGGACCTTGAGGGATGAGCGCTCACTTTGGCACGATCGCCTCGAAATTTCACCGCGGTCGCGATCCGCGGGGGCCGCTCCGATCGCGACCACCGAAAGCGACCTCCTCGCTGGGCGCGCCGGGCTCGGCAATCCCCGTCGGCGCTGTCGGCTGCTGTGGCTCGTCGGCGCTGGCCGCGCGGAGGGCCGCGCCGGCGCGCCTTGACCTTTTCCCCAGCCCTGCGGATATTATTCATCTTCTTCTTCGTGTTGGGAACGTCGGCGGCCGGCAGCGTCGCCAGGCGCGTGCTCAATCTGGTTATTGTTTTTGCCCTTGCTCTTGCAAGTTATTTCCGCGGCGTGCCCGCAAGAACCGATGGGCGCCACGGTCCCCGTCACCGTCCAGAACGGGCGCGTCAACCGCGCTGGCTTCGTCGCGCTGAGCCTCGCGAAGCGAGACGGGGGCTGATAACTTGGAGTGAGGTGGCGACGAGGTGACATGCGCGGCACGCGCTCACATGGAGGTGCTGGGGAGGGCGACACACGCGGTGACCGCACCGCCAACCGCTTGTAGCTGGGCCGCCTGCTCTTGAACGGAGGCATTACGAACGATGCCTCGTCGCGCGCAGCCGGCGCATCCCGGCCGACTCCGGGCCATGACCCCGCGCTTGTGAGTCCAGCAACGCTTGAATTCGTCCCAGCTGCGGAGGGCCTCGCGAACTCCAAATATGGTAGAGCTTCGTCGTGGACATCACGAATGCGACGCTAAACGGGGCGCTCGCATGCGTTGGCCTCGCACCGCTTGTCCAGCCCACGACTCTGCGCGCCTCAAGCGCGCATCCAGCGCGAAGCTCTGGGTCGAAGATGTTGGTGCTGAAAAAGGCTGCGGCAGAGCACCTGTTCTTCACAACAGGCGGTAAGCGCGCTCCGGCCGGGCGGCGCACAAGCCTGCTGATGAGGAAAAGCACAGGGGCATCGTACATGCTCATCCCTGATCCTTCTTGCCATTTCCATATCCGATGCGTCCGTGCATATTTTCACCCACACTCATGCCACAGCGAACGCTGACCACTGCATCGACGAAACTCCTGACAGCATGCTCTCCCGAACTGCTGTGCTACAACATACCTCTCAACCTCCATGTGCTATGTGACAAACCTTCCGAAATCTGCCGGCCCCCTTGTGGGGCTACCAGGCTGTCGGACGAGGGTTTGCTATTCCATGCGCTAGTTCCAGAATCCAGTTCCCAATGTGATAGTTATGGTTTTTGTTGCTTAGGTCCTTGTTGTAAACCGCGCGACGGGGGGAGCCGAAAAACGGCCTGGCTAGCACCTCCCAGGAAGGGTATCACAATTTCCGGGGGGGTCGGAATTAACACCCCTCACCAAATCGGCGGGGTCAGGGTCCCAAAATACATGGGATTTTACATATATCTAAAATCCGGCGGCACCCCTCACGCAGATCGGCGGGGCCAGGGTCCAAAAACCATGGGATTTGCCACATTTCTGAAAGTCGGCGGCACCCCTCACGCAGATCGGCGGGTCAGAGTCCAAAAACCAATGGGATTTGCCACACTTCTGAAATTCGGTGGCACCCCTCACGCAGATCGGCGGGGTCAGAGTCCAAAAACCAATGGGATTTGCCACACTTCTGAAATTCGGTGGCACCCCTCACGCAGATCGGCGGGGACAGGGTCGAAAAAACTATGGAATTTGCCACACTTCGCCACGCTTCTGAAATTCGGCGGCACCCCTCACGCAGATCAGCGGAGTCAGGGTGGAAAAACTAATGGGATTTGCCACGTGTCCGAAATCTTGTTGGAAACCTCAGTGCACAGCATATGGGGGCAGGTTCAAAATGTAACACTGACTTCAACAATATCATCATGATTTGAATTTCTCTTGCCGATGCTGCTTCACGGCGGCGACGGGGCCTCATGAATTAGCTCTTGCATAGCTCATTATCCGAGAGGGGGGCGGCGGCAGGGGGCGAAGCCCTTACGGATAGATGGCGTCAGGAAGGACAGATGGTACAACACAATTCCTGTAAACATGATGACCACGGCCACGGCCACCACGGCCACGGACACCACGGCTACTGCCACGGCCACTACGGTCTCACGGCCACGGCCACCACGGCCACGGTCACCACAAGCACGGTCATGGCGACCGCCATCACAGCCACGGCAACCACTGACGCCACCACGGCCACGGCTACGGCCACCAAGGCCACGGCCACGGGTTAGGGCCACCACGACCACCACCACGGCAACGGCTACCCGACCTGCATCGCCACACCACGGCGATGTGAGGGTCATCACGGCCACGGCCACCACGGCAACGCACCACGATCACTCTCGGCCACCCAGCAGGGTCACGCACGGCCACCATGGCCACGACCACCAGAGAATAAGCAAGGCCACGACCACGGCCACGAGCACGCCCACGATGCCCGCGCTGAAGCGGGAGCACGATTCGGAACGAGCGGAAGCGCGGAAATGAGGCCGACGCTGCAGCGGGAGCACGATTCGGAACGAGCGGGAGCGGGAAAACATGGGCCAACTCTGCAGCGGGAGCAACATTGTGAAAGAACCGACAACGTTCGGATTGGAATCAATACACTATATATTCGTTGTCGGAGGTCGGCCAGCGCTCGTGCCTTGACAGCACGGTGAGCTTGCCGGCCGACGTGGGGTGACTATGTACGGCGTATGTGACCGCTAACGAGACCCACCAGCAAAGTCGTGGAGGGCAAAACTATCTATACTGCCCTCCGTCAGTCCATCCGCGATCATACCCCGGGTGTCTTCCCAACTCAGGGCCAATAGTTGGCCCGAGCTCGAGAGATCGCGAAGCCAGAGAACATACGACAGTAACGAGTGTTCTGCAGGAGGAGGAAGAAGAGGATGATGAGGAGGAGGAGAAGGGGAGGAGGAGAAGACAGAGGAAAAGGAGGCGGCGGGAGAGGAGAAGCAGGCGGGGAGGAAGCAAAGGGGATGAGGGCAGGAGAAGAAAGCAGGACGAGGTGAAGGGGGAATGGGAAGGGGAAGAGGAGGAGGAGGAATTGGAGGGGGAGGGGGAGAGGAAGGAGAAGAAGCAGGAGGAATAAGAGGAGGAGGAAGAGGAGGGGGGGAGGAGGAGGAGGAGGAGGAGGAGGAGGAGGAGCAGGAGGAGCAGGAGGAGCAGGAGGAGGAGCAGGAGGAGCAGGAGGAGGAGGAGGAGGAGGAGGAGGAAGAGGAGGAATGGGAAGGGGAAGGGGAAGTGGAGGAGGAGGAGGAGGAGGAGGAGGAGGGTGAGGAGGAGGAGGAGGAGGAGAAGGAGGAGGAGGAAGAGGAGGAAGAGGAGGAGGAGAGGAGCAGCGCAGGACGAGAAGGGGGAGTGCGAAGGGGAAGCAGTGGAGGAGAAATGGAAGGGGGAAGAGGAGGAGAGTGAAGAGGAGGCCCTGCGTAGATCCAGGATGTACCAAACCTGCTGCAACACACCCTCCCGTCCATCAATCTCCGCAAGCACCCTGCTTTCCGAACGGGAAGCGCCCCGCCCCCTAAAAGACGAGCGTCCCGTGGGCCCGAAAATCAGGGATGAACTCCGCTTTGAAGGGGGCCGCCCGCCATCCGTCGAGCCACCACGGGGTGCGGCAAGGCTGGGGAAGTGTTGGGCAATGCCGAACGACCGCCCCGCTCTGATAATGAACCGCCACGCATCCGCACAGCTGTGGCACATGGTAAAGCTTCTGGCCATCCGATATTACGCACCACAAGGCAGGACAAGACACTCGCGTCGCGCTGGGGCGCGCCCCGCAGCGGAATGGGCGGAACGCGCCGCAGCGCTCACAGGTAGAACGTGGCGAAATATGTGTCGAAACATCGTTCTCTCCCATGTCACGACATTGCAACAACAATGCCTTCCATCCGTGAGAAGATTGCACCAATCTACACGTGTGGTTTTACATTACAAGACACTCCTGGCGTGAGACCATCTCGGAAACGTGCGAACCCTCAACCTCTGGGAACTGTTAAAGCAAATGGGCGCCGGGCTAAAACGAAAACCATGTTTTGCAGACCAAGGCTCTCATCCATGTATCTGTCGGGTAGGCCGAGCCTCGGGACAATCAAGTGTAAGGGCGAATCCAACACACTGGTCAGCCTAGCCTACGGACACGCCTGGCGGTGCGACTGGAGCAGCTATCAATGAGGACATGGGGTAGGAAGGGGGGAGAGGAGGAGGAGGATAAAATACCGAACACTCAGGTAGATGAGCGGGATATTGCCCCTGGACAGTCCTGTGGGGTTGATTCATCTGTCCATAGGGAAACACCCTTTGCTTCGGGAGGAGGAGGAGGAGGAGGAGGAGGATCAGGAGGAGGAAAAGGAGGAGGAGGGGAGGAGGAGAAGGAGGAGGAGCGAGAGGAGGAGGAGCAGAAGGACGAGGAAGAGGAGGTCAAGGGGGAACCGACGGGATGGCACTGTCACACGCTTCGAGGAGGATGAAAAGGATGACGAGGAGGTGGAGGAGAGGACGGCTGTGTTCAGGACGAACTCGGATGCCACCAGCCTTGGCCTTGGCCTGAAATGGAAGAGGGGGGATGAGCAGGTGGGGAGGAAGGGACTCGGAAGAAGAAGGAGAGGATGAGGAGGAGGAAGGAGAACAAGAAGAGGAGAAATAGGGGGGAGGTAACGAGGAGGGGGAGGAGGAGAAAGAGGAGGAGGAGGAAGAGGAGGAGGAGGAGGAGGAGGAGGAGGGGCAGAAGGAACATGTGGAGGAGGACAAGGAGGAGGAGGAAGAGGAGGAGAAAGACGAGGGGGAGGAGGAGGAGGAGGAGGACAAGGAGGAGAAGGAGGAGGAAGAGGAGGAGGAGGAGAAGGACGAGGACGAGGACGAGGAGGAGGAGGAGGAGGAGGAGGAGAAGGGAAAGGATCAGGCTGAAGAGGAGCGCCTGCTCGGGCCGGGAGCCCGCGGCGGACGCCTGCTCGACCCCGCCGAGGGCGCCCGCCTCGGCGCGCAGCTGTCGCCGCCTCGCGAGCCCCCGGCGGAGGCGGCCGCAGAGGCGCGCGGCCTCGGGGCCATCCTTGGACCCATCCAGGATCCATGCTACTTATCTTGGATGGAGCCAAGATGGGTCCAACATGGAACCGGTTTAGACATCTTGGACCCGCACTGGACGAATCTCAGACGCAAGCCCAAAGATGGCCCACAATGCCCACCCACCCAGGCGGCCTCGGGGCCGTAGTTGAGGAAGGTCGTGCACCCGGGGCTGCTGACGAGGTTCCTCGGGGGCGGAAGGGGGGAAGGGGAAGGAGGAACCGAAAAAGACGGTGTGGCCGAGGACGAGGAGGGGCCGAGGAAAAGGGGGAGGAAGGCCAACGGAGGGTGAAGGGGAGGATGAGGAGGAACAAACGGAGGAGGAGAAGAACATACACGAGGACCAGGAGGAGGAGGTGAAGGAGAAGAGGAGGAAGAAGAGGGGGAGGAGGAAAAAGGGGGAGGAGGAGGAGGACGAGGACGGGGAAGGGAATGGGAAAAAGGAGGAGAAAGAGGAGGAGGAGGAGGAGAGGGGAGGAGGGGGAGTGAGGGAAAAGGGGGGAAGAGGAGGACAAGGCAGAGGAGGAGGACGAGGAGGAGGAAATGTGGAGGAGGAGGAGGAGGAGCAGGAGGAGGGAGAAGGAGGGAGGAGGAGGAGGAGGAGGAGGAGGAGGAGGAGGAGGGGGAGGAGGAGGTGGAGGAGGACGGGGATGCGGGGTGGGATGGTGGGGGGGAAAGGGGGAGGGGAAGGAGGAATAGGAGGAGGAGGAGGAAGAGCAGGAGGAGGAGGAGGAGACAGAGGAGGAGAAAGAGGAGGAGGAGGAGGAGGAGGAGGAGGAGGAGGAGGAGGAGGAGGAGCGGGAGGAGAAGGAGGAGGAGGAGGAGGAGGAGGAGGGAGAGAAGAAAGAGGACGAGGAACAGGAGGAGAAGCAGGGGGAGGAGGAGGAGGAGGAGGAAAAGGAGGCGGAGGAGGGGGCGGAGGAAAAGGAAGAGGAGGCAAACAATGTTAACCAACGCGGCCCCAAAATATTGTTTCTAGCAATCGGTGTTATGCAGCCTGTGCGGTACTATTTTCGCCGCCGAACCTGCAAACTCCGCTGCTCGCGCAATCACCCCACCCCCACCCGCAACTCATGTTGCAAAACCCACGCAGAGGCGATTACGATGACTGCTCGGCGCTGGCCGGCGCATCGCCGCGGCCGCGCTAGCGGGCCGGCTCGCGCGCAAAACGGCCACCTGGTCTGACGCGACCGAAACAGCCGCGGTGGCGCTGACCGCTGGGCCTCTTGCCCATCGCGTCGCGCAAGCCGCAGTGGTACTGCACTGCAAATCGGTGACTCAGGCGGACGCGGTATCATGGTGACGTCGACAAAAGAGGGCAAGATGATGATAGCAGCGATGATGGCGGCGATGATGCCAATGACGACTGAAGGACAATGACGGCGCCGATGATGATCACGCCGACGACGGTGATGGTGTCTTTGCGTCAGCGCTGCCGGTTTTCTCCGACTGACGACAAGCGCGCGACTGACGCCCGCGAGTGGCCCGCATGGGCTTCTTTGACAGGGGTCGTGCCCCCCACCAGCACGCGCGCAAAGGGCTACCGAATGATTTCGGCATGCGCGCGCGAAAGGCACGTTTGGCCGCCTTTTGTTGGATGTCGCATGGTTGTCTTACGAATTTGCAAGGACACGCGTGTTTCTGATTGGAAACTCCTATTTGGAATCCTGTATTATGTGTTACACATGTCTCCGGGGCCCGATTTTGACACGGCACGCACGCGCGACAACGCGGGCGCGCGCGTTTCGCATAGCTTCCTGTCGCAAGGGAGAATTGCGACATCGCGTGCGCAAGGGCGCTCGACTGATTCCCACGTTCGCGCGAGAGGGGCACGTTTGGTAGCATGTGTCTAAAAAGCTGAAGAATCGAGGGTCGCCGCTGGAATCCGCAAGAGCGCGAGCGCAAGCGTTTTGCAATACCTCAATGCAAATCCATTGTTTTTTCACGTGCCTGGGAACATTGGATTTCGAAGCCCCCATACAAACCGAAGGTCGTCGAAAGACTCCGGGGCGCGCGCGCGCGACGACGCGCGCGCAGTTTTTTAAGGAAATAGGAAGATCGCCGAGGAGGTTTCGTGCAATGCGCAGAGGAGGATAGCTGAGAAATGAGGATCGTTGAGAAGGGCCGCTGAGAACCTGAGTTCGCAGGCCGCGCGATGCGCATCGTGCGATTCTCGCAGAGAGATCGTTGCGAATGGGGAACTACGCGCGAACGTTGCCTTGGTTGGATGGGATGAACGGGGGGGGGCGATGCAAGCCTGGCTGGGATGGCATGAGTTCAGATTGAGAACGAACGCCAAGGCAAAATCGCAGGTCAATGACGCATCCCCAGGGCGCGCGGACAATTCCGCCCCCAGGAGGGCGGCGCATCCGAATCCTCTTTTCAGATGGGGAAACTAGGTTGTGCAGTCTGCGTCCCTCCGCCTACGCGGCGCAATCAACGCGGTGCGCCTCGCCCTGCCGAACCTGAAATTGCCCGCGCCACTGCTCGCGCAATCATCCGACCCGCCCGCCCGCAACTCGGCCTGCAAAACCCACGCGGCGGCGATTGCGACGACTGCTCGGCGCTGGCTGGCGCGCCGCCGCGGCCGCGCTACCGCGCGCAAACTCGCGCGCGCATGGGCCGGCTTATCGGGCGTGGCCGGGCGGGCCGCGGCGACGCAGATCGCCGGGCACTTCCTAGCGCGTCGCGCAGGCCACGCGGGCACCTCAGCGCCAGTCTGTTGCTCGGGCGGACGCAGTATCATTGCGACGTCGACAACGGCAGACACGAGGATGATAGTAGCGACGCTGGCGACGACGATGACGAACGACGGCAAGGGCGATGACGGCGCCGGCGCTGATCACGCCGATGATGATAACGGTGCGAAGTGTCCGCGATGAATGCTGTGGAACGATTCCGACGTGCGCGCGCGGCCGACAGGCGCGGGTGGCCCGCGCGGTTTTCTGTTTACTTGGGCCGCCCCCCCCCCCCCCAGCACGCGCGCGAGGCAACCGAATGATTCCGACATGCGCGCGCGGGAACGCCGTTTGGTCGATGTTCATGAACATGTTGAAAGGCAAACGGTTCGCTCACGAATTCGCAAGAGCGCGCGCGGGCGCTTTCTGAAATCCATGTTTCAGACTGCGCGCGGCTAAGAATTTCCGGGACATTCGCATCTGTCCTCGTTGCGACACTTGCGGTCGTTGAAAGAGGATGCACGCGCGACGACGCGCGCGCGGACGCCGCCCCGTCATTGTGCGCGGGATTCTATATAGGAGCTATGACTATTGAAAAACGAACGCGCACGCAATCGGCTGCACGCAAGAGTGACCCCGGGCAAGAGTGACCTTTGGCGCGCGGTTCTTTGGGGGCCACTGGGGGGCCAAACAGAAGAGCGCGAGACGCCGCTGCCGCCTCGCGCTCGGCAATCGGGGGGCCCCATGTGGCCCGCGCCAAAGGTCACTCTGGCGAAAGGTCACTCTTACGTCTAGTCGACGCAAAATGCGTGTCTGCGCAGGGTGGGGACTGGGGCCGACGCCGGCCAGACCTGGATGGTACGAAATGAGCATGAACATCCCCGCGGCGAGCGGAGGGTCCACTGGGGGCGGTAGGTCCGAGCCCCCTGTTGGAGAACATATAGGTTGTGCAACTTATATTGTGCAACTCGCGTGACGCATTTCGGGTGGTGCAACTCGAAGCAGTCCAATGCGCGCTGTGCAAGCTCTTCGGCGCAGTTCAGGTAGCGCAATCTGCGTTGCGTAATCTAACTTGCGCAACATACGTGGGGCAATCTACGCGGTGCACTGCGTGAGGTTTAATATCCTCTGCGCACGCTGCGAGGTGCAATCTGCGCTGTGCAATCCACGTGCTGCATCCTGTGCGGCCCACCCTACGTCGTGCAATATGTGGCGCTGTCTAGTGGTGCACTCTATGCGGTGCAACTAATTTCGGTCCGCAGTGAATTATCAATGCCGCGTCTCGCGCAAGCATCCCACCCGCCCACCCGCAGCTTTGTTTGCATGGGCCCGTGCAGAGAGATCGTTGCGAATGGGGAATTGCGCGCGAACGCTGCCATGGTTGGATGGGGCGAGCGGGGGGGGGGCGATGCAAGCCTGGCCGGGGTTGCATGAATTCGCATTTAGAACGAACGCCAAGGCAAGATCGCACGTCAACTGCGCACCCCCAGGGCGCGCGGGGGCGGTGGATCCGAATCCTTTTTTGTTCGGAATGGGGAACCTGGGGTGTGCAGTCTGCGTTCTTCCGCCTACGCGGCGCAATTGACGCGGCGCACCTCGCCCCGCCGAACCTAAGATCCCCCGCGCCACTGATCGCGCAGACATCCGACCCGCCCGCCCGCAACTCGGCCTGCAAAACCCACGCGGCGGCGATTGCGGCGACTGCTCGGCGCTGGCTGGCGCGCTGGCGCGGCCGCGCTACCGCGCGCAACCTCGCGGGCAAATGGGCCAGCAAATCGGGCGTGACCGGGCCGGCCGCGGCGACGCAGATCGCCGGGCAATTCCCGGCGCGTCGCGCAAGCCGCGCGGGGGCCTCAGCGCCAGTCCGCTGTTCAGGTGGACGCGGTATCGTGGCGACGTCGGCAACGGCAGACGCGAGGATGAGAGCAGCGATGCTGGTGGCGACGGAAACGAACGACGGCGCGGGCGATGTTACGGCGCAAATGATGATCACGCCGACGACGAGAACGGCGCCGTGGAACGATTCCGACATGCGCGCGCGGCCGACGGGCGCGAGTGGCCCGCGCGGCTTTTGTTTATGAGGGTCGCCCCCCCCCCCCCCCCCCGCCCCCAGCACGCGCGCGAGGGCGACCGCGTGATTCCGACATGCGCGCGCGGGGCGCCCGTTCGGTCGACGTTCATGAACACGTTGAAAGGCAAACGGCTCGTTCACGAATTCGCAAGAGCGCGCGCGCAGACTCCTTCTGAATCCCATGTTTCAAAATGCGCGCGGCTCGGAATTCTCTGGACATTCGCACCTGACACCGTTGCGACACTTGCGGCCGTTGACAGAGGATGCGCGCTACAACGCGCGCGCGGACGCCGCCCCATCATTTCGCGCGGGATTCTGCATAGGATCTATGATTATTGAAAAACGAGCGCGCGCAGAATGTTTGTTTGCGCAGGGTGGCGAGCGGGGCCGATGCCCGCCATACCTGGATGGTACGAAATTGGCATGCGCATCCCCACG